AACATGAAATACAAATCATCATTTCCACAAATCAAACATTATTTACACATATCATGAAATACAAATCAAAGCATCTGCATCGTCTAGAAGAACATGCACAAAAAAAATTTCACATATAGCAATCCTAGCTCCCAAGCATTTTTCCCCCCAAATTCAAATCCAAGAACCCTAGCCGCCGTGTGCCATGGACGAGCTCGCCAGGGGAACTTTGCCGGCCACCTCCCCTCCAGCCAGATCTGGGAGAGGGAGGGGAGGGGAATGGTCGAGCAGCCACCGCTCTGTTGTTGTCGCCACCAGCGGCTACCTCCCTTCTGCCGCCTGATCAAGAAGAGGGAGGGAGGGAGAGAACAGATCCATACCCAGCCTTGCGCCAAAGCTCTCCTGACGGTAGCCCGCGACCCAGCCACACACCTCCCGTCGCCATCGCCGCCACCACCGCCCGCATCCTCCCCCCGTCAGATCCGTGCCGCCGCCCGCCTCTCGTCATCGCCGCCTCACGGCCCCGGTGGGGAGGGAGGAGGCGCCGGATCCGCCGAGAACAGCTGCCACCGCTACCGTCCCCTTCCCCGCGCCGCTCCCGAGGCCTGGCAGCGGCGGATCCACCCTCTTGGGCCAGGCGGCGTCGGATCCATCCTCCTGAGGCACGGCGGCGCCGGATCCGCTCCCGATGCGGCGGCGGTGAATGAGATGGCATCCAGCAGCGTTGGTGGTGACGACAGCCGGCGTTGGTGGAGAAGGGAGAAGGAGAGACCGATCGAGGGAGAAGTGAGAGAGGCGGAGAGACCAAGGGAGAAGAGAGGCGAGTTTGGTGTCGATGGGGGCGGTGGATTTTATTGGCATAAAATTTTTTTTAGCGGTCCTCTTTACCTAGCGCTAGTGAAAATTGTGTTTTTGCTGGCGGAAACATAAGAGATCCGCCTCGAAAAATAGTGTTATTTTTATGGCGGACCTCTTAGCGTGGCCGCCAGGGAAAATCGGTTTTCGCTAGCGGTCCGTAGCCCCCGACCCCCTAGTTACGGTTTTGCTTGTGGTTTTCACGTACGACCGCCAGCGAAAATTATAGATTGACACCATGAAAAATCATTTTTAATAGTGTCTGGACAGGCATCGACAGTTGATTTGGTCCTACTAATGATGATTTGGTTAGGTAGAGAACCAAACAACCTTCTAACGAAAGCGTAACCTTTTTTAAAAAACACGAAAACTAAAGAAAACCCACAAAACTGAAGACGAAAACCAGAAAAATCAAACCATGTTTATCAAGCTAATCTAGTGAATCCACACGACTTTCTTCCAGTTTAAATTAATCTTAATCCCTTAAAAAAAGTAAGTTACAATTTGCGCAAAGATATCGTATCATTTTTCTTTTACGCTGCCACTCCGATTGCATTCGCTAAGGAACACGAAGCAGGTCGCCGCCGCATTCGTTTTGCACGGTACGGATGCTGCGTTCTTCCCGTCGTTGGAGGTGAGGAGACCATCATCGATCGACAGGAAGGCCAAATGGAGGTTAGCCCCCTCGCTCGATCTCCTGCCTCGCTCACCACCCTCTGGGCGCCGTTCCAGTGGTGACGATTGATGAAGATGAGTCGGACCAGTTGCAGATAGGTTGTTAAGTAATCGTGCACTTGCAACATAAAAGTTTGACTATTTTTTTCTGACAAAAGGATCGAGTAGGCCATAATCGGCTAGAACTGCTTAATTAATGAGCTAGAATGCCAGGAGTGAAGTGTAGGAGCAGATGGGCCTATCAGGAAATCACACACGTCCTGTTTCCTGTTTGGATGTCACAGATGCACTACTCGACCCGTCTAGTGCCGAGCAGTGCATCTGATTTTTATCCCCAGTCGCTCGTTCTTGATTGCACGGTGGGAAATTTGAATGATTTTATATGTTATCATCCAACTTGGTATAGGTAGACTCTATAGATCTGATCCTTTGAAACGTAGAATTGTGAAAATACATGAATAGTAAAAAAATGTAGGGATGTAATATCATGCTTATTGGATCAAAACATAAGAAAATTTCAAGACAAGCTTTTAATTGGCGCACATGAAAAATACATAAATTCAAGATATAAGAAGAAGAAAATACTTAATTTCCTCTAATATTTTTCTTGAATTGCCCATTTCATATATGAATTTCAAAGAAATCGGTACAAATCAATCATTTATTTCAAAGATTCTATAAAATTATTTTTTTTCTAGGATATAAATGTAGAATCATGTGATGACTGGACTCCCAGAAAGAGCCACCACAGCTCCAGATCTTTGATTCTTGATAGATTTGATGTTTGTATATATTAAATTATGGTAATTTAAAATTTAATTTAAAATAAGAACAAAATAATTTATCCAAATGTTATCGAATAAATGGATTTGTGAAGCTACGGATACCACGCCCAAAAATCTTAGATCTGGAGGAGTCTTAGCTCGATGTGATATGGACAATAGGAAGCCACGATTCAAAGCAAACAACACATGCAAGAATCAGAAGATCCGTCAGACCAAACAAACAAGTGAGGGATGTGCACAGGATGCAGGTAGTCTGCAGTACTGTTCACTGACATGTGAGCTCCTCGGGCCCACACATAAGTGAGCCCCTCGGCCCCACACATCAGTGTTTCAAAAAAAATTGATGTGCACATAGGTGCTCCTGTACCTTCCCAGTCCTAATGAACTCCTAATTGTCCAACTTGTACGTTGTATCGACCCTCACGTTGCTGCGTGCAGGACTTCCCCTCGCTCGGGACAAATTATATATGCACGCGGCGACTTGTTGGACCAAGAAACTTGTCATTATTAATTGCTAGTTTCCACATCTTGCCTACTCGTGTGGAAAAGCCCGAATACCGGTCAAGTGACAACTAATACTAACTAATAACAATATTTCCAATTCTACTGCAGTAGTGCACTGTATCATTTTCTTCCTCTTTTTTCTAGAAAAAATATATAATTTAAACCACATATATAAACCTGAAAAACATTGTTGGATAAATATACGTGTATATGCATATAAGTAAAACTCGTGGCGTGAACAATTGACGCAACAGATCATTTTCCACTAGAGTTGGAAGTGCGGTACGTGCCCGTGCCTTTACGCAAGCCAACAGGTCATCAGCCATGCATCTTTTTCCTCGGGTCAAGGGGAAGACTCAACAGATTAATTTCCAATCATCATTAGTGGCTTAGTGCAACAATTGTGTGCAATATTATACCATTAATTGTCCTCACGAGTGTCTGTCCACGAAGAATGATTTGGTACCTCAGCAACAGTGCCTCAACCGTTGAATATTCTTTAGCACGCCAGGGCACGTTCGGTTTAAATATAAAATTTGCTCAATCAAGTTATTGGCACTATTCTTAGAATGTGCCCAATATACTAGTCATATTTAGTTACGGTTGGACTTAGAGTTGTAATAGGTGTTAGGGGATGAAGTTAGAGTCGGACTCTGTAACCCGACAACTCTCTTAAATAGAGATGGGGATACCACAATGTAACCATGGTGACTATAATATAGCATAGACATGCAAATAGATAATGGCGGTGAGATCATAGACTCGTAGCGGCTAGAAGCTATATTGGTTGGGTAGGAGCGCCCATAATCAGAGCCCCTCAAATTTTATTAAATAAACCAAATTTTATTTTTTTAATAATTAATACTCAATTTTCATATGTTAATGGTTGCCTCGTTTTGAGTGCAAACCAAAAGCTCGATTATAAGAGAAAATCCAGGAAATGCCAATAACAAGCACACAATTCCAAGAAATACCATTCACAAGTGTAAGTTCCATGAAATGTAACCATACAAGATACTTTGTCCCAGAAATGCCATTGCCTTTACGGTTTGGTTATTAACCCTCCGTTAAGTGTTATAGGATGAACAGTGTACTTAACAGCGAGGGATGGACGGAACCTTAACGGCGATGATATTTCGGGAACGAAATCGCTTGTACGATGGTATTTCATGGAACTCGCACTTGTCGATGGCATTTCTTGGAATTGTACGCTTATCTATAGCATTTCTTGGATTTTCTCCAAGTATAATGCACATTCGAACTAAGCCTTAATTTCTTCAGCAAAATTTGTCACAGGACACGCAAAAAACGTGCAATTGGCGGGAGACACCGCGAAAACTTGACATGGCTCATGGACACTTAACAAAACATGTAATTGGCCGTAGGACACCGGTCACATTATTTTATTATTTTCAGATAAAAAAAGGTGAGATATTTTTCTAAATGATTAGATTGCCCCTTCCCTTTCCTTATTTTTCTCCTTCCCTTTCATTCTTTTCCCCTTCCAAGATTTCGCCTGGAACGCTCCCGGAGATGGCGGTTCTCGCCGTACGCCTTGAGCAGCGTGGTGATGTTCTTTTTTGGGTCTTGCCGCGACAGCGCCAGGATCATCGGCTTGTGCGGGTTCGTGAAGAAACTGAGCACCTTCGACCAGATGGGAGGGAGAGGCTTCTTGGCCTTGTTGGGGTTGATGAGCAGGTGCAGGAGCCCCCACTGCGCTCCTCACCTTCGACCAGATGTGACGGATGCAGAGCTTGCACTCCACCTTGAGGTCGAACCCATCGTAGAGCCCCCACTGCTCCTCGATCTCTTGCTTGGTGCTCATCACCACCATGTCGCGGCGTCGAGGCGGATCTCCTCGGCCTCGATCCGCCGCATGATCTAGTACACCGCCCTGGCCGCCAGTGTCGCTGCACCACGTCGCGACGACCTCGCCGCGTCTCTGAGGCCGCTGTGCCCGTTCCCGACGAAGTCAGTGGGGAGGGGAAAAGAAGGAAAGAGAAGGTCAATCCGGGCATTTAGAAAAATATCCCACCACTTTTGATCCGAAAATAATAAAATAATGTGACCGGTGTCCTACGGCCAGTTACATGTTTTTTTTAGTGTCCATCAACCGTGTCACGTTTCACGGTGTCACCCAGCCAATTACATTTTTTTGCGTATCCTATGATAAATTTTGCTAATTTCTTAACACTGTTGAAGGGAAACGCCTTGGACACATCAGTACATTTGCACTGCTGTGTTTTCCGTTGCTGAAGGAGTTTGATGTACATTTATTTTTTCTGAAACAAGTAACTGCGGAATTTCATTCAACAGGAGCAAACAGTACATTTATTTATTTAAAATTTCCAACGGGAAATACAAAAAGTTTAATCCTTATTTTCTCTGTAGAAGAATATGGAATTATTCTTTAATCCCATCCTCACTGCCTTTGGTAGCTAGCTAGGCTAGCTTTTGGTCTTCCTAGACAGTTTGTTCTGATCAAGCGTTGTTTGGTGGGAGTAGGCAGTTTCCAATCTCTGTACATAAATTGAACAGACACCAATAAGATAGCTATTTATCCTTTAAAAAATCACTTACTACTTGAAACAAAAGTGTGCATTTTTTTCTTAATGAACATTTTTAGTGGTATGAAATGTACCAATCTAATACATTACAAAATGAGAATGAACTCACTTGGTTGTTGTGTGACAATGGTTGCGGCACCGGCAAAGTCACACGAGCCACTGGCCCGACCGGCTGTCTGGTAATAGTCGTTGAATGCATAGGTTGCGTGAGCCACTTTGGTGTCCGGATTAAAGCACTGTGCACCGCGCTGTATGGCGCTGCAGTCGGCACAACTACCGCACGCGTAGTCTAGTGCATTCTGTAGTTGTGCTTCCCCGACACTATCTTTCGCAACGCACCAACTTGGGTTCGGATCGCAGATGCCTATATCTCGCCAAATAAGTTCAAATAATAAACACATAATGAGGATATGATCGCAATATATATATATATATATATATATATATATATATATATATATATATATATATATATATATATATATATATATATATATGAATGTACATTTGAAAAACTTACTTGGTGATGGCTTGTAGACGATGAAAGCGACACCATTGAAGTTGCACGTGCCGCTAGCCTGGCCCTTGCGTTGGTAGTAATCATTGAATGCGTAAGATGCATGTGCAACTAAGGTGTTCGGCTCATAGCATGCTTTGCCCAGCTGGATAGCGCTGCAGTCTGCGCCATTATTGCACGCCCAGTCCAACGCTCTCTGTAATGCCGCATTATCAACATTCGGGTTCGCCACACACCAGCTTGCATTCGTTGGACAGGGACTTCTACCACCTTGAAAGTTGACCTCATACACCTGCTGGCCGTTTGGGTAGAATAGGCCAAAGTGTCCCTCCGTGGCTGGCCCAGGCTTCAAGTTCTCGTTGAAAAGAGAGAAGATGTAGGCAGAGACGTCGTGCTTACCTGGGGATCCGGAGAGCACACGTCTGATAAGACCATTGTTGTACGCTTTGGCATTGGGTATTGTAGCTATTGCATTCAAATCCGCGTCAGCTTCAACGACCACTGGCCCACCAAATGTATTTCCAGAGGAATGCCCTGTTTCTGCAACTTGAACTAACATTTGATCTCCTTGGGCCAATGATGCCCTCAAGCTACCACCGGAAACTTTACTTATTGCGGCGTAAACAGCATCGAGCTCAGCATCAAAGAGGCTGAAATACATGATGCCGGTTTTTTCGTCGAGCACACCACTATTAGGACGGAACGTTGCGTACTCGATAGAGATGTGGGTCGACGGATCCGCCGCAGCGTACATAGGGTAAAGATTTACCAAGAGGTATGAGCCAGTCCGTACCAAGAAGTCGATCATGGGCTTCATCACCGACTGCGCGATGCTGTCCTTGAACCTCCCATCTGATGGCGGGAACGACACATCGAGTGCATCGAATGCAATCGGCGTCGACACCTTTATGCCATCCGCCAGGTTCAGGTTCGCTAACGCCATTTGCACATTTTGCATGGCCGAGACAAGCATACCAGTCAGTTCAGGTTGTTGTTTGAACACCTCGTTTCCCACGGCCACGCCATTGATCAGCGTGCCCTGGTTGAGGTACGGCACCACGTTGTTCTTCACCCAGTTGGTTGCGCTCCCCACATCCGCACCAGCGGAAGCAAGATCCTTGTTAGGTAGCATCACCATCACCTTGATGCCTGTGTTAGCGAGAGCGTTGAGCACCGTCGGGTCAGTGTCATAGATCCTCACCATCGTGATGCTGTTCGCGTTCAGAAGCTTCACCACTTCCGGCGGATCGATCAGATTGCTCGCATCCCTCCCGTAGCACACCCCAATCTCGCCCGCATCTGCATTGACGAGCAAGAAAATCAACATCGCTGAAGTTGCTGCCCATCTGCATTCACCGGAAGCCAGAAGTATAGCTAAAATTTGTTTCCAAATCGTCGTATTACCTGCAGTGGAGAGAAGGAGCAGCGGCAACGCCGTGGCCACGAGGAGGGCGCTGAGTTTGTGATTGACTGCCATGCTCTGCTCCTGAGTGGAGTCAAGAGTAGTCGTTGTTCGTTGAATGCGAGGATTCAGGGACGCGATGACGGGAATTTATAGCAAGCAAAGAGGGTTTACCATACGTTCTGGAATAGAGAAAAAAAAAACTTGATGTAAAATTAATGGAAGATCACACCAATGCAGAGTCGAAAGAATTCTGAGATGATATACCCTCACATCTTTCAGTTTCAGGAACACTAGCTCAGCTCGTGTCATGTGCCGACAGAACAGAACCAAGTTGCGGCTGCGCCAGCAGCAGGCGCGAAGAATAATACTCTTTGGATAACATCTCAACTATTGAAGTATAATACTCTTTGGATAACATATATGATTGCCAGACAATGGTGATAGCCACAACTGAACTGATAATTTGTCATTTTTCCCCTCCCAAGATTGATACCAAGCCTGCCGACCGAGGGGAGATATCAGTATGCAAAAAGATTATCTCCACACTCACATCATTTATTATATATTTAGAGATTCTCTTATAAACCCCCATTTTAATAATGAAAAAAAAAGAAAAGAAAAAACATTTACATACTTTTTCCTATGGTATATGTCACTTCACCCTTTTATGTGTGTGTGTGTGTGTGTGTATATATATATATACATATATATATATATATTACCCTTTTTAGTTTTTCCTTTTCTTAATTTCGTGCTTTTTTTCTGCGATATTTAGGCGGAGATATCTAGGTGACACCATGGGCCATGGATCATCCTAAAATTTGACACAAGTTTCAACTATAATAGGGTTGTGTTTAGTTCCACGCCAAAATTAGAAGTTAGACTAAAATTAAAAGTTTGAAGAAAAAAGTTGTAGGTTTATGTGTGTAGGAAAGTTTTGATGTGATGAAAAGTTAAAAGTTTGAAGAAAAAGTTGGGAATTAGACTTGGCCTAGGTATGTTGCCTAACATCATAAAAATTTGTATATGGATCACTCTACTATCGATTTGGACCATTACATCTAGATGGATCACCGTTCTAACTCCCAGCTACACCACATATATTTTTATAATGGTAAATTGATCAATTAATTATAGATTTTCAGTTGGAAGATAACATGACACGTCCATAGGCGAAACTGATGAAGATGAAGATTAAGTTGGCGTACATAAAATGATCAAGAAAACCATTAGCACATGATTAATTATGTTTGAACTATTAGAAACTTGATAAATTGATAAATTTGATATTTTAAAGCAACTTCTATAGAGAAAGTTTTTACACGGAACACATCGGTTAATAGTTTTAATAGCGTGTTAATACAAGCCGAGATAAAATCTAAATCTTAATGAGAAAAGAGCAAGACGAAGTTTATAACATGCTACACGATAACACCGTTTGAGATTGATGTGGTTTAATAGGTCAAACAAAGGAGCTTCTGATGATGGGGTGTCAAGGGCAGTCACATCCTGCATTCCTAACTTATTTGTCGGTTTGGTCTGTCCACCGATTTTCAACATTTTTCTACATGCATTCCACGCATATTGACCGGCCTATATGTATCAATATATATTCCTAGCTGGGGAGAACGCCAAACAACTTGTCGCTCTACAACATTGATGGTCGCGTATGGATTCTAGTAGCTATGCATGCATGTGTGCCTCTGTTATTTAGCCTCCTGCTCCTCTTGTGCCCACTTGTGTCTGATATACTATATCGTCGTCCTGACCCTTGTGCTGCGTGCAGGCCATCGTTAATTTGGACAAAGCCAACGACTTGACTTGGAAAATATTACAGAAGACTCCACAGCCCTCGTGTGGAAAAAGCCTAGACAAGTCAAGTATACTATTAATATTTATGAAACACCAAATAAAACTTCTTCAATATAGATGGTACCTATTAATAATTATTAGAAGGTAAAACTCAGTGTACAAGTATGCTACATTATCATCTACTAGAAATTACTATTATATATCTTAAATCTCATGTAAGATATATCACCTAGAATATAATATTATAGACCTCAACATATAAGTATGTCAAATTATTTTCCTCACTTCATTTTTGCATTATTTTAACATTTATTGTTTATATAATATTTAACATATATATTCATCCACAAATTCCGTAGCAGTATGTCACAATAATGTCGTCTACGAGACGGTTCCTCTAATAAGAAATTATATTTCAACCACACAAGGAAACCAAGACCCATGTTGGATTTTTAATATAATCTAATAGTCACAATAATATTATTTTTCTAATCAACTAGCAGAGATCTTTTGATAGATGTGGGAGCTTTCTCATATAGATATTTGATGGTCATGTTCGGCACAGTTTCAGATCTCATATTCACGATAGATTTGAAATTTGTATGCTAAGGTATAGTGATTTAAAATTTTGAATTTCATCTAAAATGAAACAAAATGATTTATTCAAATATCATCAATTTAATAAAAAAATGATTTATTCAAATATTACCAATGTAATCATAGAGTTAGATCAAAGCTTCAAAAGGTCTTGGATTTGAAGCTGTACAAAAGAAACCTAACAGGTCTATAGTATGCGAAATTTTACTCTCCTTAAAAAATATGGAAGAGGTACATGCTTACCCACGGCGAGCCGTGGGAGTCAGCCATAATAGTTCTATCGGCTCACAACGCAGGTGGTGAAGCAGGAATTTCGCCATAGGCCAACTAGGCCAGATCAAGGTGCAAGATCCTGTCGTTTATCTGGTAAAAGTGGTAACGGGCAGCTCCCAAGATAAAAATGGGCGTCCGCTCCATGATATAATGGGCATCCTGTTGCACACTAAATTACAGTGATCGAGTTTGAGTTGAGAGGAAAAGAGAAGATTGAAAAGATACGTAAATCAAGGTGAATCATTAGCGTGTGATTAATTGAGTATTAAGTATTTTAAGTTTGAAAAATCGATTAATATGAATTTTTAAAGCAACTTTCTAATATAATTTTTTTTAAAAAACATACCGTTTAATAGTTTGGGAAGCATGCGCAGGGATAACCAGTGAAAACGCAGCCTAGGCCGCAAGCTGTGGCAAACACTGGATCCCTCCTCTTGCCCTGCTGCTAGGCCTACAAGTCCGTTGGGTGGGAATGGTATTCTTTTTTGTGTTGATTCTCCTTTTGAGTTGGCTTTGGATGAATTTGACTGGGCTGAGGTTGTACGTGGATTATATCGAAGAGGTTTGAGTGGACGAGAAAAGGAGAAGGTCCACTTTTGGTCCCTTCATTATGCGTGAGTTTTATTCACGTCCCTTAATAGTAGAGCCGGGTATAGAGCACCTCCTATCTTCTGAAACTACCGTAAATCGAGTCCCTATGCAGTATTCACGGAGATCTTGGATTGATGTAGCGTCTATGTGGCACTTCAAACAAAAAAGAACTAAAAAATATGATAGACCCCACTGTCAGTGAAATAGGTCATCCCCTTCCCTACCCTCTCTGTCTCTCTCCTCTTTTCCTATTTCTCCTGACGAGGAATCAACGGTAGTGGTGGTCGGCGAGCTCGAGCTTGCCAACCCATCTACGGGAAGGTGACAACGGAAGTGAGCATAGGAGAGGAGAGGATAGAGGGGAGGGAGCCGGCGAGTTCGCCATCCCATCCACGGTAAGGTGACAACGGAGGTGGGCCGCCATGACCAATGTGTCGCCGTATTCCTCCCGTGATGCGCCTCCCCTTCTTGGCCACCATCGTCATGGGCCACGTCGTGTCGGTAGCAGGCTAATCGCCTGGCGCTGAACTCGACCTGCAAGATGAATTAGCAGCCAGCCAAGAACAGGTGGTTAATAACTCAATATCAATGCTAAAATGTTGATCCTATTCTTGGCAATTTTTTGAATTAAACCTCAAAAGAAGACAATAACTCAGAACCGTATGAATTCCGACAGATCGATCAAAATATATGAAGCTATGCCTATGGGAGGAGGATGGTAGGAAGCGATGCCACCGAGGCTTTGGTGGTTTGATGGATTCTACGGACAGCGATGGTGGCCACATCATACGCCAGCAGAATCCTCGCGTCATAGCTCCAGCGCTAGGCGCCAATGAGGGCAGGCAAGGATCCCTTATCCATCATCGTCCTACTCTTGCCTCGGCTAGCTCCATCTCTATTATTTCTTTCTCATCAGAACTAACATGTGAGCCCGCAACCAACTACGAAGGACTAAACCACCATCCAAACTGTTTTGAGACACAAAATGAACCGATATTAGTAATTGAGAGATGTTGTATATTCCTTTTTTGCGATTGAGGGACGATAATCGAATTAGACTCATACTTGAGAGATGCAAGTGATTTAGATTTGGTTGCAACTTTTGTGGCCCAAAATGGGTTCGATATATCCATGGATTTGCACTGGATGGTAGAACGGGTTTAGCCTAAAATGGTTTCCACTCCCATCGTCCATCAATCCCCAAACACCCACATCTTCGTCTACAGTCAATTTCACGCGTATGGTGCCTCACATCTCGCTGAACACGCCACCGCCACCTCCCTCCTCCTCCATCGGCGCCGCCTTGCTCACCCTCTTCCTCTCCGTGCAAGCTGCCGTCGCCGGCGGCCACGATGTCACCATGGAGTAGTCCATCTTCGTGGCAATTGAGTCTGGCCTTGGCGTTCTCGTCTTCTCGATGATGATGTGCTGATCGCTGCCGATGGCCAACGGACATGGGCGAGGTCACGAGGACTAAGCGATCTGTGGCAGTGGCACCTGGCCACCTGAGGCCCGAGCAACGGAGATCATGCCGGCCGGTGGACGCTGGATCTTTCGCAGTGCCCGCATTGCGCCAATGCGCCGGAACTAGATCCGCCGCATTGGTCCGCTCGATCCGCATCGGATGGAAGCTAGCGAGCTCAGCCGAAACGAACGGGCTCGATCAGCTCGGCCCACGGCAACAAAGTTCGGCCCACATGTGCACAACCACCAGTCGAGCACTCAAAGACTTCACGATGCCTCTTTTCTCCTCTCTTTTCTCACCTTGCCCCATGGCTGGCGGCCGCCTTGTCAAGCCCTTAGGCCCCATCTACAGCAGTGCACTACCATGAGCCACAGCACTACGGGAGGGAGGCGATGTTGCAGTCTCTGGAGGAGGCTAACTGTGAGCTATTCACGCAAGAACACAAGAACACAGAGGAATTGTTCGATACGATCAACGAGACCGTATCGCCGCCGCTGCCAATTCGCCTCCGATAGATTGATCTCTAGGATAGTTGTATCTTACAAGTCTTACAGTATTTGTATTCCTCTCTCTCTCTCCCTTACCAACTATTGCCAGCTAATCAACAGGTACGAGGCCCACATTACACGGCCCAATCTGGCCCCAAATACCTTTGGTTAATAAGTCTAGAACGCTTAGGAGCGAGAGTTACATTCTCATGAGGACTGAGTTGTTCAGCAACTGGCTTGGTGTTCTTCAGGTTGCTGACACTAACATGACCACCTCTGCCTTCCAGATGAGGGTTACAGCAGCAGCTCGAGAAGATGAGATTGAGAATCTAAATTGATATATGAATTGAGATTGTGATTCAACACTGAATATGATGATTGAATATTTGTGTCAATTTGAGACTCACTATTGTGTGAATATGAGAATGTGAAATTGATGCCAATCAATATGTATGCAAAAGAAAGCTAAACATTTGAGGCTGCTGGCCTGCTCCTGTTCTTGGTATTAGAATGTGTTGGTGTTACTGAATTGAACATGTGAGACTGAGGCTGAACATATGTATACAGATTTTGTCCTAGGCTAGTCCATATACGTTTGCTCGCTCTTCTGTTCTGTACAATCAATATGAATTTAGAATTTTGAATTGAGTAAGATTATACAATGCCATCCCGATTTGCGATTTTGCTTATTATTGTTGTTGTTAAGGTGTTCAAGGATCGCTCGCTCACTCGCTACATCTTTCACGACAACAAATTCTTCCACAGCTGCGGAGGGGGTTTCACCTAAAAGGTGGCATGGTTGACCAGCAGAGCTAGAGCAGTTTGCAATGGGGGAGAACTGGCTCCTTGGTTACAATTCTCTCCTTCGGAAGGTGCAGGCTGCCGCCGGCAGCGGCATCTGTGGCGAGTGAGGCGGCCAAGAGGCGAGAGCAAGCCTGCTTGTGAGCCACGTGGGCTGAGATCTAGCTGGTCTTTCTGCTGCAATCGCTCAGGTCCGTCTGATGGAAAACGAACGGTGCAGCGGCATTGGATGTCCCTCTGACTTTGGTTACTCTAAGTCAGAGGATCCGGTTCCCAATGCGCCATCGTCCTCGTAGATGTCGAGCTCCGCTCAATTGCAGACAATGTAGGTTTAAAAGCTGAGAAAAATGAACGGAATAACCAGAAATGATTTTAGAGCAGACTTTTATACTCCTACTTTCATCGGTTTACAAGCCAACGGCCTAAAAACAGGAAGCGATGAATAAAGAAAAACATCTAGAGTAACTCGAAATTTTGTCTGAAAACTCAAATTTAGGTTGTAGCTTATAAGATGACAAGCTGCGGCAGCTGTGTGTTTTCGGTCCATTGCTGCACGAGTGTGGCGTACATGTATTTCTTTCATTCTCTGAAATGTGCAACAGCAGGGTTTTTTTTTTTTTGAAAAGAAGGCAAAAGCTTTGCCTCGTATATATTGATAGAGCAGGAAAGTAAAAAAACATGACTGATATTTACATGGCCCTACAACAGATAGAGGGGGGGGACTCTACGGGATTCCTCCCAGAGTAGTAAACGCACTCAGACTAGATGCCCCTGCAAGGACCCACGTAGCCACTTCTCCTTTTATTTTGTTGACCACCGCCGTTGGCGGGCTGCCATTGTGTCAAAAGATTCGTGCACCATAGTTCCCAGGAGATGAGGATGATTAGGGTCTTGACGGCCTTGGTCGGATTTTGCCGACTGTGCATGAGTAGATACCACCAATCCTCCACGGAGGCACATCTGTCCCAGTTGTGAATGTTGAGATTAAGACCAGTCCATCTTTGGATATCCAGCCAGATGCGTTGGGAGAATCTGCAGTGAGCGAGGAGATGGACTGCCGTTTCCAATGTAGTGTGGCAAAGTGGGCAATACTGTTGGTTTCTCCAGCCTCGTTTTTGGAGTCGATCAGCCGTCCACACCTGGTTTTGCATAACCAACCATGCGAAGAACTTGCATTTTGGCGGCGCCCAACATTTCCAGATCGTCTCGTTGAAAAAGGATTTTGCTGCCCCCAAGAACTGAAGTCTGTACGCTGATTTCGTGGTGTACTCCCCGATGAGAGTTAGTTTCCAGGTGATGGTGTCACGCTGTTGTCCCAGGGGGCTCTGTTGTGAATGAGGGTCCACAGCTCAATGTATTGCCGAAGGTGGTCACCGGATGTGAGATGTAGGAGGTTAATGTCTCTGATCCAGGAATTGGAAGTCAGAGCTTCTCGAACTGTTCTGTTCTTCCTTTTTGAAGCGGCGAAAATTGCCGGAGCGATGCTTTTTGGCGATTTGCCTTCAATCCAGTGGGAGTGCCAGAAGTTCGCCGTCCTCCCATCTCCAATAGTTATAGTGGTTGCTGCTGCGAAGAGGTCTTTGTCTAGCTGATCGCAAGGGACAATGGTGCCTGTCCAAGGCCTTTCTGGCGCAGTCCATTCAAACCAAAGCCATCGCAGTCTAAGGGCTCTTGCAAACTTGAAGAGGTCCAGGACGCCAAGCCCTCCCAACTCTTTGGGTCTACACATGCTTTCCCAATTAACCTTGCATTTTCCCCCTGAGATGTCTTCTCCTCCAGCCCATAGGAATTTTCGTCTGGTTTTATCGATGGCTTCCAGAGTGCCATCCGGTAGCTTTAGTGCCGTCATATGATAGATTGGTTGGGCTGTCAGCACTGATTTCGTGAGGGCCATGCGACCAGCTGCGTTCAAAAGTTTGCCTTGCCATGGAGCCATTTTTTTCGACACTTGTCAAGAAGGGGTTGAACGTGCACCTTTTTGAGCTTGGAGAGAGCGAGTGGGAGACCCAAGTATTTCATCGGGAAATGGGTGACTTGTGCTGGGAAGATTTCGGTGATGTTCTGCAAATTTATGTTTTCGCAGCGAATTGGCACAATTTGGCTCTTGGCCAAGTTTGTGTTAAGACCCATGATCTCACCAAAGTGGGTCAGGATTTGCGCGAGGTTGGTCATGTCCTGGACCGAGGGGTAGATGAAGATCGCAGCGTCATCGGCGTATAAGGAGGTTCTTAGCCGCGCAGCTCGTCCGTTGAGTTTAGTTAGCAGCCCCTCGCTTGTCGCTTTTTCGAGGAGAAGGTGTAGGGGGTCAATGGCCAAGACGAATAGGAGGGGGGATAGAGGATCGCCTTGTCTGAGCCCACGCCCATGTCTTATAGGAGGGCCAGGGGCTCCATTGAGAAGCACCCGCGAAGAAGAACTCCTGAGAATATTTGTTATCCAATCTCTCCATCTCGTAGGGAAGCCTTTCTGCTGCATAAGATCAAGTAGGTAGTCCCAACGGACTGTGTCGAATGCCTTTGTAATGTCGAGCTTGAGCAGGAGACTGGGCTTTCTCGTCTGGTGGAATTTTCTCGCCAGGTTACGGACGTACATGAAGTTGTCATGGATGCTTCTCTTTTTAATGAAAGCACTCTGAGCATGGCTGACGACGGAGTTCATGAAAGGCTGTAGCCTGTTGGCCAGGGTCTTAGAGATGAGCTTTACTACTCCGTGGATGAGGCTGATCGGTCGGTAGTCCGCGATGCACTCTGCACCTTCTTTTTTCGGGATTAAGACGACATTTGCAGAATTAACCAGCGTCGGTAGGCATTTGTAGTTTTCGCACATGAGGGAAACAAAAGACACTTCAGGACGGACGATCCATGCTTCTTGGCATGGGTCTAGGTTGCCCTGACCACCTCACCCATGACAGCCTCTGCGTCCACCGGCCCCAAGTAGGCTGCCATCGCTTCATCTCTTTCTTGCATGTGTTCGTTGTTGAGGTTGAAGAGGGTGTTGAGTGCGTCGATCGCATCCTGCGGTAGGGGCGTGTTGAACATCGCCTTGTAGTCAGCAAGTGTTTGGTTAGTGAGGACTCCTCCTACTGGAAGGAAACCCATTTGGCGACAGACATTGATTTGTGCCTTTACGACCATCGGGATGCCGGCGAGAGGTTTCATGGCGAGTCTGGCGCTCCGCCTGGCACCATCCTCGGCCTGCACTTCATTCTGTTGCACCTGTTGTTCTTCGAGTGGAATGGTGAGAAGCGCTGGTTCCAATGGCTTGAACAGCACGCTCATGGCGCCGTCGACAGCAGCTCTGATGGTCGGCGTGGACGGCACAACTGGAGATGTTGGGGTGGTAGGAGCCTGCTCCCCGTCTTGCAGTAGCATCGCGGCAGGGGGAATCACCACAGCCATGTCATCTAGCGCAGCGTGGTCCATGTCGCCCGGCAGCAAAACAGCAGAGCGGGTCACCACGGCCACTCTATCGTGCGGCATAGTTGTCATGTCGCCACTTGCCGCTTCGTCCTCTGCGTCCTCCACCGGCGCCTCTCCCTTGTCCGCGACGGCCTCATCATCCTGAACCGTAGCGGTCGCCATAGCTGCCGCTGCAGCCACCTCAACCTGCGCCTTGGACGTGGTGTCGTCGTGCACCATAGCAACGTCGTGCGCAACAGCAACCGCCGTTGCCGCTGCAGCCGCCTCATCCTGCTCCTTGTCTGCGGTGTCGTCGTCCGCCACAGCGACGTCGTGCGCCGCGGCAGCCTCCATCGCTACGTCGTGCGCCGCGGCAGCATCCACCGCGACGTCGTGCGCGGCAGCAGTGCCGCGTTCCACATCATGCACTGCAGTGCCGCATGCCGCCGTGCCGCGTTCCACATCATCCGCCAGTGCTGCAGCGGCTGCCACAACAGCCGCTTCATCACGCGCCGCAGCGGCATCATGTGCCACAGCAACAGTATCGTGCACCGCATCAGCACCATGCACCGCAGCCGCAACCATGTCTCCATGTTCCTTATCGCCCTGTGCCGCTGCATTTACAAGAGCCAAATATGCCGAAGCCGGATCGGAGAATTCACCTTTGTCTACCGTGAGCGGCAAGTTGTCGCCAACGACGGTTGGAGAAGCACCTCGTGATGCCAGCGGTGATGGAACGACGAGGGCCGCTTCCCCATTTTCTTCCCATCGACGGAGGGCGTCGTCGACCTCACGGATGGACGGCGGCCGCTGGGCAGCTTGCTTGATGCGCCAAAAAGCTCGGCTCGCAGGAATGGTGTGCTCCGTCTTGGTAGAGTGCCCTTTGGACCAGCCTTCATCCCCCCTGCCCCCAGTTTGAGCTTGCCGAAGAGTGAGGCAAAGTCAAAGGATATGTCATTGATGTCGCGGACATTTTTCTCTGTGAGTGCCTTCACCTTCCATTGCAACGAGGTTAACTTGAAGTGGTAAAGAACCTTCAGCTTACTTACCTCGCGGTCAGCACGTTTAGCCTCGGACACCGGCGCCAGAGGTTCAGCTGCTTCCACCGGATCGCGTGCCCCTTCATGGTGTCGTCTGCCATAGCAGTTCCCGCCTACGGAGTCCCTTCTCCTTGGCGAGCACGTGCGGTGTCGCACGCCGTTCAGCCCCGCGCGCCTTGAACTGTTGCCACCACGCGTGTCGCCGCCGTCGCGGCCGTCACGGTCGTCATCGCGATCATGGCGTCTCCAGCCCTGGCCTCGCAGCTCGTCCGGGTGGTCGTCATTGTACCGCCTCCCTTCATTTCGGCGACTATTTCCGCGCTCGCGGTCACGGTCGACACCACGCGTGCGATCGCAGCCGCATTCATCATTGCGGCGTTCGTCTTCCTCCCTGTCTTGAGTGCGCGGCGGCAGAGGGTGCGGTCCATCGAAGGCGCGTGGGGGCGGCTGCTCGCCATCAACCACGCCAAGGTGCCAAGCCGACAGCTGGCGCTTGGTCGGCTCACACGCCGCGTCAGGGTTGGAGAGGTCAATCGTTGCCGTGGTGTAGTCATGGATCTCCTCGACGTAGATGAGCACCGGGTACTTGGCCCCGTACTGCCAGTGGTCCGGTGGCGACTCCGTGACCACCACCGAGTCGGCGTCAGCGTCCTGCGTGCGCCTGGTGAAGGTGAGCCAAACACGTCAAGGGATGAGGCTCGGGTTGGAGGTCCAAGCCCACAAGCTAATGTAGCGCGTGTGGCTTGGGTGAACCAAGTTAGTCTCGATTTTCTCCACACCGCAACGCCGCGCGACGATCTTGTCGACGATTTCCGGCTGCCAGGCATGTCGGGGGACGCCGTCCAGGAAGAGCTTGACACGAAACATGAGAGCCGCGCCCATCGCGTCCTTTAGACATCTCCACTTGATGAAGTGGACTTCAATCCCTCGCCGTTTGACGAAGCCCTTCCAAAGAGCATCGGCACAGTGGCTGCGCCGGGAGAACTTGATGAGGTAGGCTTCGGGGTGGTGGTGGGTGACCTCAACGTCGCCAGAGTGAAGACGAAACTCCTCCTTGATGGCGTTCTCCACGTCTTTGGCTGTCATGGCCGCTGGTGCTCGCATTGCCCAGGTGACTGCCGCCGTGGTCTCCCATTCACGACGTTCTTCCTGGAGAACAAACGAAGACAGGATGATGCAGTCGTCGTCGAGGGGGCGCGTTCTTGGGTCACCCAGGAGAGCCATTGCTGCTTTGGTGGTGGGGCGCGGAGGCGGAGGAAGGTTGCATGGTGGTGTTGGTGGCCTAGAGTGGTGTCGAGGGGGGCGTAAAGGCAAGCTGGAACTGGGGCACGACGGCCGTTGCGACGGGTGCGACGGCGGATATGGAAGAGGCGAGCGTCGCGTGACGGCGCAACGCAGCGTGGGCACCCGCGCGCTGCAATTGCGGGCCTTATGCCCGGAGCGTGCGCAGTTGAAGCATCGCACAGGGTCTCTGCATTGAGCTGCGCGGTGATTGCGAGCAAGGCAAATGAAACAACGGCCCTGAGTTTTTGCTTGAAAAGCTTAGAGCGAGGGGGATGGTGCCGGCCGGTTGTTGGAGTCAAGTGAATGGCCGTCGCGTCGCTTTGAATTGCTCTTTGACTCGGGAGCAAGAGCTTCCTTTTGCCTCCACCAGAAGCGCCTTCTGACCGGCGTCCAACCTCCGTCTCGAGTGTTAATGGTGCCGCTGGTCGACTGGACAGGGGAGAGTCTCCTCGCCGTACTCCCTCGCTTTGTAGCTTCGTAGGATGCTTGCTGTCGATCTTGGCCTGGAGACTGGTTGGCGAGGTAGTAGTTGCTCTTGACGGGCACTGTTAAATGCGATTTCAAACGGGGTTTTAAGGCGGGCTGCTTCACCACATCGGCAAACAGTTGGAGGCGGCGCGGATCTGGTGTCCCAGCCCCCGGATCCGGGGTCTCAGGGACCTCCGAAACTGCATCTGGCGACATGGCACGGCTGGATCTGGGGGGCGGTGGCAGCGGCGAGTCGAGCCAAAAGGGGGGAACGGGCGCGGCTGGGGAGGGAGAGCGATGGGGGGGCTGAGTGAAGTCGCTGGAGACGCGCGGTGAGGGGAGCTGTGACCTGTGAAGAAGCCTGGGAGGTTCTCTTTGGTTGGTCGGCATAGTGGATGACAAGAAGACGATGTCACGGCGACGAGAGTGGCTGCGAGGGGCCAGACTTGCCGTCGGCGCTAGGAGCTTTCCGCTGCGGTCGAGGTGGCCAGCAGCGGCGGGGTGTGGACGCCGAGGCCGGAGTGGCCGCCGGCGCAGCTAGGTCGCCTCAGAGTCGCCTGAGGAGAGCATCCCTTGGTTCAATCATTTGAATACTAACAGCAGGGTTTCATTCAACAGGAGTGAACGGTACATTTATTCGTCTCTTCAATCCCAACTAATTATTAATGGTACCATTATTTTTTTCTCTGCAGAAAAATATGAAGTGATTCTTTAATCCATCCTCACTGCCAAGCTGTTGCTGGTAAGTTTGCAGTCGATTGATCTTCAATTGCAGTTTGTTCTGTCCCAGCATTGTTTGGTGGGAGCACGCAGTTTCCTATTTCTGTAAATTATTGAACAAGCACTAATAAGATAACCACTTACTACTTGAAACAGAAGTGTGCAATTTTTCTTAGGGAATATGTACATTAGTAGCAGTAGGGCATATATATCATGCACAGTAAAATGAGAGAAAACTCACTTGGTTGCTGGTTGACAATAGAAGCAGCACCGGCAAAGTCACACGATCCACTAGCCCGGCCGGTGGTCTGGTAAAAATCGTTGAATGCATAGGTCGCGTGTGCTACCTTAGTGTCAGGATCAAAGCACCGTGCACCTGGTTGAATGGCGCTGCAGTCCGCGCAGCTACCACATGCATAGTCTAGTGCATTTTGTAGTTGTGCGTCCCCGACCTCCGATTTCGCAACGCACCAACTTGGGTTCGGATCACATATGCCTATATCTCGGGAAACAATTCACAGGACAAATAAACAATGAGATGGAATCAAGATATGAATGCACATTTGCGAAAGCCTCATTGATCTTAAAGATTGAGAGCAAAACATTACTTGGCGATGGCTTGAATACGATGGAAGCGGCGCCAGAGAAGTTGCAAGTGCCGCTGGCCTGGCCCTTGCGTTGGTAGTAGTCGTTGAATGCGTACGACGCGTGTGCAACCAAGGTGTTTGGTTCGAAACACACACTGCCCTGCCGGATAGCGCTGCAGTCCGCGCCGTTACCGCACGCAAAGTCCAATGCTGACTGCAATGCTGCACTCCCAACATCTGTTCTTGCCACACACCAACTTGTCTTTGTGGGGCAAGCTCCGCCACCGCCACCGCCCCTAAAGTCAACCTCATACACCTTCTGACCATTTGGGTAGAACAAGCCAAAGTTTCTCTCTATGGCTGGCCCAGGCTTCTCGTTTTCATTGAAAAGAGAGAAGATGTAGGCGGAGACGTCACGCATACCGGAGGCTCCGGATACTACACGTCTGATAAGCCCATTGTTGTACGCTTGGGCATCGGCTATCGTGGCTATCGAGTCCGTATCGGCTGCAGCTAGCATGGAAAATAGGGGAAATGTACCTCCAGAGGGGTGCCCTGATTCTGAAGCTTGCACACTAAGGATTCCATCTCGTCGAGCCATTGAGACCGTTAAGCTACCACCAGAAACCCTGTTTATCGCAGCATAAACAGCGTCGAGCTGAGCATCAAAGAGGCTGAAGTACCTGATGCCGGTATTGCCATCAAGCACACCAGCGTTAGGGCGGAACGTCGCGAACTCCAGAGAGATTTTGTCAGGCTGAGCCACGTATGCGAAGTACGGGTAGAGATTGACCATGAAGTACGAGCCGGTCTGTTTCAAGAAGTCAATCATGGGCTTCATCACCGATTGCGCGATCTCATCTTTAAACTCCCCCGCAGATGGAGGGGACGACTGCTTGAGCGCATCGAAGGCGATCGGCGTGGACACCTTTACGTCGTTCGCCAGGTTCAGGTTCTCCAGCGCCTTGTGCAAGTTTCGCATGGCCGAGACGAGCATCCCGGTCAGTTCGGGTCTCTGCCTGAACACCTCGTTCCCGACGGCGACGCCGTTGATCAGCGTGCCCCGGCTGCGATACGGCACCACGTTGTTCGTCACCCAGTCGGTCGCGCTGCGCAGATCCTGGCCGGCGGCGGCCAGATCGGCGTTGGGTATCGCCACCATCACCTTGATGCCGGTGTTCGCCATCGCGTCCAGCACCGTCTGGTCCGCGTCGAAGATCCTCACCGCGGAGATGCCGTTCGCCTTCAGAAGGCTCACCGCCGCCGGTGGGTCGATCAGGTTGTTCGCGTCCCTCCCGTAGCACACCCCGATCTCGCCAGCATCTGCATTGACGAGCAAGGAATTACTCCATCGTTTGGCGTTGCCGATCAGCTGCATTGGCAGGAAAGCCAGAAGCACGTTACCTGCAGCACGGGGGAGAAGGAGCAGCGGCAACGCCGCGGCCACGAGGAGGGCGTGGAGGAGGTGACTGAATGCCATGCTCTACTCTGCAACTGCACAGTGCACACCGTGGCAAGAGGCAGCGTAAATCAAGAGGGCTGATTGCTTCTTTGGAGATCCCTACATCTGGTCCATCTGGAGCAAGAAAGAAAAGAAAAACACACTTTTCAAGCTGGACATCGAAACTTTGACTCAAAATCCTCGAATATTTCTACTCGTTGTCTTGAACTTTCAGTTCGAGTCCCCAAACTTATCACACAAAAATCATAACTTTGAACTAAAATATCCAAACGTTTCTATGCAAAAGCCTCTAACTTGGAACTCGAGTATCTAAAATTTGTATTAGAACCATGAACTTCCTACTCGAATCATAACAATTCCAATTTGAATCAACAAGCTCTCACCCAAAAATCACAGCAGCAGCCAGCAGGTCCGATCTTAGAGCTGTCAAGATGGCTTCCTTGTGTCTTCCCGTCAGTTAAAGAGAAAGGGCAGTGGATCTTTGAATACGGAATGGTGCAAAGGAAAGCGAAGAACTTGGAAAGCTGAGGAGATGGAAGACGAATTGGCTAAGTCTTAAAAGATTCATGGCGTTCGGTACTAAACGTGACTAAAAAAGTATTAATTCGAGATATACCCTACATCTTTGACTAACACCCAGCTAATGTGCCGACAAAACAGAAGCTAAGTTGCAGCATAAATACTTCAGCAATAGCATCTCAACTACTCCTATTGCATTGGATACTCTTTGGTGGAACGGTTAACAAACATATTTATCGGTACAATAGAGTAACCTATGTCTCTTGATATATATGCCCATAAGGATGGACTCTAGGATAGGATGGGCACTATATGTTAGTGATATATGTCCCTTTGACTTTACATCAGAGGAACCACTTCCAGTCGACAATGGTGGATAAACACAACATGATTAATTGATTTATTTGTCATTTTTCTTTTTCAAGAGTGATGGAGTGGAGATGTTGATATGCTAAGGTGTCTTCAGAGTCACAATCTCACATTTATGCACCTAAAATCCTTCCCCTACTTCGTCGAGTCTCAACCGGGCAGCCATTTGAATTATTTCCTCTTGATCGCTTTCCCAACACATGGCAACTAATACTCCCCCGTTGACTTTTTAACAAACGTTCGACATTTCGTCTTATTCAAAAAATTTATGTAATTATCATTTATTTTATTGTGACTTGATTTATCATCAAATGTGCTTTAAGCATGACATAAGTATTTTTGTATTTGCATAAAAAATTTGAATAAGACGAATGGTCAAATATTGGTTACAAAGTCAACAGCGTCATACATTAAAATATGGAGAGAGTATAATCTACTGACCACTTATACTATTGGTGATCAACGTAGACTAATTGGCATCTCTCAACAGATTAGGGGACGGCAACATAGCTTTCAGCCTTTCCACCTATCACAATATCGCTTCGGCGGATTTATCCTTTTTTTTTTCGAAATGACCTTGGCAACTTCTGAAAAAAAAAAGAAACAAACATGGTCTCTGTATATGTTATATTTATCCTTCTGCAGCATATCCCTCCTGCCGCTACCCGAAACAAAAGAAAATTATAATGGGTTTGTGCTAATATACATCTCAACATAAATTTTTAGAAAAAAAAAGACTAAACCAAAATTTAAAGTTTTGGCAAGTTCGAATTTCAACGGTCCTAGTAAATAAATCACTCTCTTATCTCAACTATTGATAAAACAGCCTGGAAGTTGTTTTGGTGTTTCTTAACCCCACATATTACTTGCTTTTGCCCTCAATTTTTTTCTTTACACACAAGATGCATACACACAATCCCACACCCACGTACATTAACAGACGCCAAAACGGACAAAGACTGGTGATAAATCTTGGACCTCATTAAAATATTGTTGGAATCATACCCATATTTGCGTAATACTTATGCACAATAATTTGAAAAAAAAAGTGGGTGGAACTATATGTTGGACTATTTTTACCAACATATACATCAGCTGGGAAAGGTCCATCTTACACTCTTAATATATAGGACTGTTTAGTTCGCGAAAAGAAAATTTGTAGGTGTCACATTGGACGTTTGATCGGATGTCGGTAGGGGTTTTCGGATACGAATGAAAAAACTAATTTCATAACTCGCGTGGAAACCGTGAGATATCAATTTATTAAGCCTAATTAATCCGTCATTAGCACATATAGGTTACTATAGCACTTATGGCTAATCATGAACTAATTAGGCTCAAAAGATTTGTCTCGCGATTTCCATACAAACTATGCAATTAGTCTTTTTATTTATCTATATTTAATGCTTTATGTATGTGTTCAAAGATTTGATGTGATGTTTTTAGGTAAAAAAAATTTTTGGGAATTAAACAAGGCCATAATGTGTAGGTATAGACGTTAAAACATCTACTCCCTTCGTCCCATAATATAAGGGATTTTGCGTTTTTCTTTGCAGCGTTTGACCACTCGTCTTATTCAATTTTTTTTGAAATTATTATTTATTTTATTTGTGACTTACTTTATTATCTACAGTATTTTAAGCATAACTTTTCGTTTTTTATACTTGCAAAAAAAAATTGAATAAGACGAGTGGTCAAACGTTACAATCAAAACTCAAAATCCCTTATATTTTGGGACGGAGGGAGTATATATCAGCAATTCTATCTTTACCAGACTCAGCTTTTTGTCAGTAATTCTTACAGTAGATTATCTTTCGCTAGAGTTTAGGTACTATGTAGAGGACTCCACCACCCCCACGCTATTGATGCCTTCCTCTCGTTCAATCAGCAACACGCCAACACCTGCAATTAGAACGAAGTTTATTAGTAGGTCAAGTGGTCAACCATGGGGAGCTTTCGATGGTGGCGTGTAAGGCTCCTCACATCCAGCATTCTTATCTATAATTAATTAGTTGGTTCGTCCCATCTTTCAACATTTTTTTTTCTACTTGCATCATGCATCATATATTGCATGGCCTAAGGCGCCTGCCTCCGTCCCATAAAAAAAACCAATCTAGAATTGGATGTGCTATATCCTAGCACATTAAATATGTTCCATCCAATCTTAAGGCATGTTCAGATTATAGCTAAAATAAATCTTACCAAATTTTGACAATATCAAAATTTCAACAATTTAACAATATTGCCAAGTTTTGACAGCATTTATATGTAGTTATTAGAGTTTGGTAAAATAAAACTAAATGGATGCAAATATTTGACAACTCTAAAAAATGGTATGCCTTTGAAATGATAACAATCTGAACAATCCCTTAGGTTTTTTTATATGATAGAGAGAGTAGCTATCTACATCAAGCCTAGCAGGGGAGAGCCAAACAACTTATCGTTTGAGCAAGTTTAATACTCGTCGAAACTAGAATTCAGTAATATAAACAGGGTAGCGCACGGGATCTAAAAGTTGATGGATACAGAGACAAGAATTTAGACAGGTTCAGGCCCTCTCGATGAGAGGTTATACCCTACTCCGGTTTAGGGATTTGAATCCACCAGGTGTAATATAGATCTAACGATCTGGTTATGAATCTGCCCCCAAAGAGGCGTCATGCCCTCCTTATATAGGCGAAGGAGTAGTCTTATAAGATAGAGACCATATCCCTTATAGTTTAGATCTCCTATACCTAATCTACAAACTTAACAAACCAGGACTACAAACCGTTCCTTGATAGACAAGTAAATGTTATACCCGAGTCCTAGTCTTTATATATATTCTATATACATGATCTATTCCCTATAACCAGTCGGATAGCCTAGCCATGTGAGTATGTGGTACCCATAATTCTCCACAATATTGTCTTGGGGGGACTTTTCTCTGTTAACTGTTTTGTTGTTTTGATTTGGAGCTGGTTCAGGCTTTGCACTTATGCCTGTTGAACCTTCTGTAATAATAAGTTGGTCGTTTTGTGTTTCAGGAGTTCTTAAACTGTTCCAGATGTTCAGGAGTTGTGATGTCTAGTTCCTTTCTCCTCTAGTGCTCGAATTGCCTTAGAAGGTGGAATAGGATGGCACCTATATATGATGCCGAAAAGAATTGGGTATGTTTCAGTTGGCGATGCTTTTATTTTAAATTAAAGAGGAAGCGAGGACGTGGGCGCTGGCAGGTGCAAAGTGCTTACGCGAGCTCTTACGTACCCAACCATGTATTGTGTATAGAGTGCTTTCTATTTTCCTTTATTCCTTGGGGTTGTAATTTTGTACTTCTATATTTAATGAAAAACACAATCTCGTGCAGTTTTCCTTTTTTAAAAAAAAATTCAAACCTTTGCAGCGGTTATGGAAATGGTAGAGTGCATTGATCCTCTCTAAAAATAAATAAATAAATACTTCTTCATGTTTTCAGTTCTGCTTAGGAGTCTGATCATATGCACATACATGATAAATTGCTCAGGGTATGTAACTGAGGAATTTCATCCAACAGGAATGAACGGTATATTTACTTATTTCAATAGACCCGACTGGAAAAACTGCTACAAACATATCATTTTATTTTTGCCAAACGATGTGGACTTGTTCTTCGATATCCATCCCCACTATCGCGAACTGATGGTAGCTAGCTTAGCCCTCGGTCTTCAGTACGCTTTGTCCAGTTCAAGCATTGGCGGAAGGACGCAGTTTCCAATCTCTGAAAATAATTCAACAAACACCTAAGATCACCATTTAACTAGTTGAATCATCACGTAGTGTACAAAAACAAGTGTGTATTTTTTTTACGCAAAATGTACATTATTAGCACTTGAAGGTTTCGAACGCATTGTTAATGGCATTTAGTTTCAAAACAAAACATACAATGGAGATTAAAATGGCACGTGGTTGTAAGCCACGAAAGAAGATGGATCAATTAATTAGCTATGTTTGCTTCGAAAAATTATATATGGGAGAAGAAATGCATGGGCAATAATTTTTGAAAGCAATATCTGAAACAAACAAGATGAGAATATCTGTTGAGCTTGAACTCACCTGGTGCCTGGTAGGTAATGGAACCAGCACCACCGAAGTCACACGAGCCACTGACTCGGCCAACACGCTGGTAATAGTCGTTGAATGCGTAGGATGCGTGCGCCACCTTAGTGTTAGGCTCGAAACACCGTGCACCGGGCTGGATGGCGCTGCAGTCTGCACAGCTGCCGCATGCATAATCTAGGGCTGCCTGTAGCCGCATGTCCCCAACTGCAGGGTTCGCGATACACCAACTTGGATTTGGGTCGCAAATGCCTGCAATTTAGTAGATAAACAGTGAGGCAGATTTATCAAATGGTTGTGAGAACTAAACAAAATTGCATTTTAAGAAATATGTGGTCGTAGGAACTAACTTTCTGATGGTTGGAAGACAATATAAGCAGCGCCAGCAAAGTCGCATGTCCCATTGGCTTGGCCCATCCGCTGGTAGTAGTCATTGAATGCGAAAGACGCATGCGCAACCATTGTGTTTGGCTCGAAGCAAGGTTTGCCCTGTTGGATAGCGCTGCAGTCTGCGCCGTTACTACAAGCCCAATCCAACGCCGCCTGCAGCCGGGAATTCCCCACAGCTAAATTTGCCACGCACCAGCTCGCCTTGGTGGGACAAATACCACCACCATGAAAATCAACCTCGTAAACCTTTGTACCGTTAGGGTAGAACAGGCCGAAGTTGCGTTCTACAGATGCTCCAGCCTTCTTGTTCTCGTTGAAAAGAGCGAAGATGTACACAGAGACATCAGGCATACCAGAGGCTCCAAACAGAGCGCGTCTGATAATACCATTGTTGAATGCTTGGGCGTTAGCTTTTGTAGCCACATCCACTTCGGCATCAGCTTGTGTGGTCAACTTGCGGAACTGACCACCGGAGGGATGCCCACATTCCGAACATTTGACGGGCACCCTTGGTGTCGGGTGCCCCCATCTTGTTTGGGCCATTGAGGCCCTCACACTATCACCAGAAACCTGATTTATAGCGTAGTAAACAGCATCGAGCTGGGCATCAAAGAGACTATAGTATGTGATGTGGCTCCACGGATCGACTACACCGGCGTTGGGGCCAAATGTAGCGTAATCGCGGGAGATCTGGCCTTTAGAGTTAGCCCAGGCAATATATGGGTAGAAATTGACCATGAGATATGAGTTGGTCTGTTGCAAGAAATCGATCATGGGACTCATTACCGACTGGGCGATGCTGTCTTGAAACACACCCTTGGATGATGGCCATGACACATTGACCGCATCAAAATTAATGGGTGTTGATACCTTTATGATGTCGGCAAGGCCCAGTCTCGCTAGCGCCGTCTGCACATTCTTCATCGCCGGTAACAGCTGAGGGGTCAAGTTGGGTGCTTGCCTGAACACCTCATTCCCCACAGCCACACCATTGATTTGTGTGCCCTGGTTATAGTACGGAACAATGTTTGTTTTCACCCAGTCTAGCGCACTTCCCTGATCGTGGCCTGCAGAAGCAAGGTCCTTGTTGGGTAGTGCCACCATCACCTTGATGCCTGTGTTGGACAGCGATCTCAGCACCGTCGGGTCGGCGTCGTAGATCCTCACCTTCGTGATGCCGTTCTCCTTCAGAAGATTCACCACGGCCGGTGGATCCATCAAATCGTCCGCGTCCCTCCCGTAGCACACGCCCACCTCGCCAGCCTCTGCAGTCAGTGGTGGAGTCAGAAAGATAGATTTTTGAGCCCAGGCAAACTTCAATATAAGTGCCCCTTTGAATCACAGAAATGAAAAAACGGAGGAATAAGAAAAACATAGGATTCTGACAGGAATGAAAGTGTAAAACAGAGGATTGCAAAACACAGGAAAAACGGAATGACTGTTTGATTGGACCACAGGAAAAACACAGGAATTTAAGGAGAGATAAAGACTCAAAGGATTTCTTCCATGAGGTTCTATCTCTTATTAAAATTCCTCCAAAACTTGTATGGGAAGAGGTATTTAATAGGAATTTCATAGGATTTCATAGGGTTCATTTCTTTGATTCAAAAGGCTTTGTAGGAAAAATTCCTATAAGAATAAAATCCTCTAAAATTCCTATGAATTTTCTTTCAATTAAAGAGGGCCTAACTAGTATTTGTTATTTTCTCATTGATTTATCCATCAATATTAAAATTTAATGGAGTTTTCGCCGGCGAGCCGGACTGCCCGGGCTAGCCGAGCGGTCGCTCTGCCACTGACAGTGCAGTGGAAAGCTAAGAAACACCGGTTCTGTTGGTACAAAGCTGCACATACTTAAGCATATCTAAATAATACTACTAGTCCAAAATAATCGAAAGCGTTTCTACGTTTGCCATGGTTACCTGTACGGGAGATGGAGAGCAGCAGCAATGCGGTGGCAAGGAGGAGGGAGCAGAGGAGGTGAGTGAGTGCCATATGTGCTCTGATAGTTTGATCAAGACGAATTTGATGGTTGGGACAGGACTGAGGTGCAGGAATTTATAGCAAGCTAGAAATTAAAGCAACAAAAGTCATGGCACGACAGAGTAGAGAATGAAGAACTTGATACCTAACTGAGTTATGAAGGAAAGCACATATATGCCATTAGCGGGGTAGGGGGCATAATTATGTACTGCTTCAGCTTATCATTGCGCTTGTTTATCATCATTAGGTGAAAGCCACATATACAGGCATAACGCATCATAAGCACGTCCGTGCGGGAGTGTGTCACTAACACATGCTCGAAGAAACCGAGGCCAGCAACAAATCATTTGCCTCAAATAAATCCATCCATTTAGCATAGATCATTTTTTTGGAAGAATCTATATTTCACCATTGACAGATTATCAGTTCTACAACCTACCTTTAATGTCAAAGTGAACGTAACTGAACTGATTAGCTTCCTTGTGGTGGAACCTGCTTACCTGGGTTCAAGTCGTAGATTTGACACGGGTGCTCACATTTACGGTAAATTATTCTTTAGTATTAGGTGATGTACTTCACATCGACAACGAGACACCCGTGGTGATTTCGTCAATTTCAATATATGATAGATAAATCTTTCGGAGATGCTCATAGAGGCAGGATGTTTGTTTACCGGGGTGAGTGTGCGTGTGTTATAAACATCTATGTTTGTACTGTGTTTCTAAAAACATTAGTTGTTCTACGAAATACCACCGGACAAGCATTTTTCTTGTTCCAAACCATAGACTATATTAATATTATTGATACTAAATATTTAATAGTGTATTAAATAGATTGATTCTTTATTAATTTAATAGCTTATTCTTGTAAAAATGGTCCATATCAATTACATTTATTAATTATTAATTTTAGAGTAAAACACATAACACTTGAAATTGAGATTCTAATATGGATACAACTTCATAATTATAAGAGTAAATTTCATAAAACTGCACGTTTTGTAGTCCAAGTTGCAGAAAACCACACACACTTTGACACTTGGCACTTAAGTACATATATTTTGGTAGTGTAGTTTCACAAAACCACACTGTCAATGAATGGATTCACCCGCGAGATAACGTGACTGTTTCACTTAGGATGAGGACATGGCATCCTATTGCCAGCCATCGCACGAAATTAATAGGATGCCACGTTCTCATCCTTGATGGAACAACCACGTTATCTCATGGGTGAATCCATTCATCGATAGTGTGGTTTTGTGAAACTAAACTATCAAAATATATGTACTTAAGTGCCAAGTGTCAAAATGTGTGTAGTTTTCTACAACTTGAACTATAAAACATGTAATTTTGTGAAATTTACTCTAATTATAATGCTAAATACTTTTAAATTTCTAAAAAAACAAAGAGTTTAATTTACAACAACATATTATATTTAGCATAAATTTAGCATATTCTTTTGATAAAAGATCTAGTTTATATATTGATTTTGGAAGCACAGTATAAGTGGTTTTCATGTTTCGATAAATATTTGTGGTTGTATTCATTCCGATTTATATTTGCTATATATGTATCTTTATTCAGTAATATTCAATCAAGTTTCTTAATTTTATCTGAAATTATCGTTTACTATTCTAATTTGAAAAAAAATATGGTTAGGGTAGTGTCGAAACATGAATTCGGCAATAATAAAAGGGGGTAGCGCACGAGACCTAAAAGTGGATGGATGCGGAGACAAATGATTTAGACAGGTTCAGGCCCTCTCAATGAGAGGTAATACCCTACTCCTGTTTGGGGATTTGAATCCGCCGAGTATGTATTGATCTGACGATCAGGTTGTCTCATGCCCCCTAGAGGGCCTCCTGCCCACCTTATATAGGGTGGGGGGCAGGATTACAAGATAGAAACCTTAACCAATACGGTATCGGTTTCCTAAATCTACTTTACAATATTATCAAACCAGGACTTTAGGCTGTTCCGTAATATATAAGGAAACGTAATACCCGAGTCATGATCTATTACATATTCCATAGATATAAGTTATCCCCTATGACTAGTCGGATAACCATGCCGTATGGGTATGGGGTACCCATAATATCCACAGTAGCCCCTGAGACCTTCGCAGTCGAAAAGATAATCTTCTCTCGAACCAGATTACTCCAAAGCCGAGTGCTTCAATCATCTTTGTCATGGTCTCCCGAGTACTTTTACCAAATCTGAAGACTGTGGAGGGCTGGAAAATAAAGTCAGGTGCACCGACTAGATGCACCTAATAGGTGTAGCCCCCGACAATGTGGTTAATTGAACAAACCAAGCATATAGTCAAGGAATAAATAATCCAACCAACCGAGTGGTTTTGATAATCGTAATCAACCAAGTGACTTGATATCAATATATAGCATATGCGGTGTGAATCCTCCAAATAACATGATCCGAGTGATATACCAACTGCTTTGTAAAATATGATGAGTGATATAGCAAAATAGCTATAAAGAAGCTTGTATATTGTGAATAAAGAAATTTCCAAAGTATTGGGCATACGCCATGCGCACACTGCTTTAACAGATGTGCTTAAGTCCCTAGAAGACACATGGTTTCACCACACCCGGAAATATATGGCATATGTGGTGTAAAATCCGAGTAAATAAACTCATAAAGGTTTTACCAACCGCCTAGAAAATGACCACAATATATAATCAGCCTAAGCCATAATATTGGTCAATAAAAATGCACACTTACGTGGCGAAAAGCAATGATATTGTATCCAATCAATTGCTTAAAAACCCAAACAGCACATTGACTTATATATAAAAAAGTCAGCGGGACAGCTATATAAAGCTTTACTGTTTGACACCTTTTAAGATGCATTGTACCAACTCCTAAAAAGTTAAGTAACTGCGGTATAAAAGGATTTTAAGGTATTGGGCACTTGATCACGCGCACTTTGGCCTAAGCAAAAAGTGCCTAAGTCCCTAAAAGAACGTGACAGGCCACACCTGAAAATATGGGCTGCAGACATATTAGGCCTAGGCCAAAAAATATGCCTTCGATACCCTTTAAAGGATGACGCATGTAACATGCTCCCTAGTAATAAATCTTCCGGGTAATATAGACCAAGTGTAGCTCATATGAATAGCTTCTGATCTGAATGATTATCCCTTATGGGATACTCCAAAATAAATATAATAATTGAATCCCGACTGGCGCAAGTATTCGGTTGATAGCCCTTACGGGGAATAATAATTGGTCCAGTCTTTGAGCATAGAAAATAGACTCATGACTATGAATCCATGTGGAATGTATCCGGAACAAGTCCAAATTGGAGATATAATCCTCACGCTTGAGTTGATGAGCCCCTGAGCATATAGCTTGTCCTTCTGTCATAGTCAAAATTGTCTATTGGCAATAGCTGACGCAGTCGGCATGGAGATGAAATGACCAACATGAAGACGAAATTGCTCATCAGAAGTAACGGAAGATGTCAGTGGTAGTAAAAACAGTGACACCAATCAAAGGTAATGAAGTTGCATAACCATGGAGGCGAAGAAACCAGTCAGCGACAGACAGATCAACTAACAATGAAGATCAAAGGCGATGACGAAATCCATCAATCATGAAGATGAAGAAAATAGTTGACGACGACAAACGCAACCGACATGATGAAGATAACGATGTCGGTGATCCAGTCAATAGCAGTGTAGCAACCAATGATAATGACAAAGACGCTCATCAACATTTGCATAGTAGGTCAACCGTGAAGGTGAAATAATAAGTCGGTGAAGACATAATCATCCATTAGCAACAGCGGAGATGTCAGGGCCGATGAAGCAAAGGTGCTGGTGATGATGTCAGTGACAATAATCCATCAAATTAATGTTATAGCTGTTGTAGATGCTTCACTTGGAGGAGAGTTGATGCTGTTGTCCAACTCGTCTAAATCAAAATATTTGATGTTGTTGAAGTAGAATGTCTGTTCTGAAGCAAAGATGAAGATAATGACTCCTGGATTTGACTCGTGGGTTGATGAATTGATTTCTTTAGCTTGACATAAAATTTGTCAAATTTTGAGCCTTGTATTTGTGTAGCCCCCGACTCTTTGATTAGTTGGGAAACAACTGAACATAGAGTCGAGACTGTAGCTTCTTGTCGTCGAATAGTCATTGCTTGATTGAAGATATGTGTTGAAGATGTCCAAGTAGAAATCCTGAATATTGAAGAGCCACTTGTTGTAGTAAAATAACACGGCATCGCATGCCGAGATGTCGAGGTTCACAAAGACGTCGTGGTTGGTGAAGTAGCAAAACTTGCGAAGTAGCACCAATAGAGTTTGCCGGTGCCGAAGATAATAAAGATGAAGTCGCTCCACCATGATGACAAAGTTGTATTGCTGTAATGAAGTGAACACAAGTCGGCGGTAACAGAAGCAAACCGGTGGTGAAGACGCGCAGTTGTGAAGATAAAAGCACCAGTCGGCGACAGCATAACCAGTCGGCGACGGAAGACGATGATGTTCATCAGTAGTGGTAGCTGTCTAAACCAGACGTAGAGGTGAGGGCACTAGTCAGCAGTAGACGTAGACAGCTTGCGTCGAAGATGATGATGCCTATTAGCGGTGACGGCGATGTAGCCAGCCGTGAAGAAGATAGCATCAGTTGGCGTCATAACAGGCCAGCCGTGCAGGCGGTGACACTAGTCGGTGGCGGACGAGGCGGCCGGTCGGTGAAGACGTAGACGCCCAACAACGGCGGCATAATAGGCCAGCCGTGCAGGCGGAAACACCAGTCGGCGGCGGGCGAGGCGGCCGGTCGGTGAAGACGTAGACGCCCAACAACGGCGGCATAATAGGCCAGCCGTGCAGGCGGAAACACCAGTCGGCGGCGGGCGAGGCGGCCGGTCGGTGAAGACGTAGACGCCCAACAACGGCGGCATAATAGGCCAGCCGTGCAGGCGGAAACACCAGTTGGCGGCGGGCGAGGCGGCCGGTCGGTGAAGACGTAGACACCCAACAACGGCGGCATAATAGACCAGCCGTGCAGGCGGAAACACCAGTCGGCGGCGGACGAGGCGGCCGGTCGGTG